GGGAGCGGGGCGGGAGGGAGCGGCCGGGCGCTGCCAGGCGCCGAGGTGATTGGCAGGGCGCTCGCGGCGCCGCCTCCTCCTCCTCGGCCACCGCCCCTCCCGGCTCTAAGCACAGCAGCGCGCGCCACTCGCCCGCGGGCGTCGCGGCCCGCCCGCCCTTGGGGCATCCAGCGCCCTCGGGGGCCACCCAAGTCCAGGAGCTGTTAGCGAAGCCCGAGCCCAAGAGGCGCAGGCACAAAGTGGTCTCCGGCGCGGCCCACCCCGCGCCCTCTGCTCCGTCTTCCTCCAGGCACAAGCCCAGCACTCGCGGGCCCGGCGCCGCCTCCCCCGCGGCGTTCCCCAGGCAGAGCGCGGCCAGCACCCAGCCCAGCCGACCCGCCGCCGCCATCGCCCGCTGCCCCCTCTCAGCCTCCCGCGCAACCTATCCCTCTCGCCCGCGCTGCCGCCTCCCCGGCCAATCGTTGTCGGCCGTTGAGAGCGCTCGGCCAATAGGCAGCGGGCGGGGGCGGGCCTGGGGTCGTACTAGGCTGCGCCGGGGAGTAAACAAGCGGAGCGGGGCTGGGGCGTGGAGCTGTCGGTCGGGTCGGCCGCGGCTCCGGGGGTCTGGTGTCCCCCGTCCTCGAAGTGGCGCATGAAGTGTAGGGACATGGGAAGGCTGTCGGCTTCGTGGGAAAGGGCCGCGGGAGCCGGAGAGGTTTTGGCCCACTGACCTGCAGAGCCAAAAGGGCCGAATTAGACCCCTGGAGTGACTGGCGTCCCAAAACTAAAAAGTTAGGTCCGGGGACGTCGAGACCGGCTCCCGCCTTGGAGGAATGGGGTCCGGACGGGGACGCTCCAGCACACGCGCAAGGCACGCATAGCTGGCTGGATCCTCGCTTTGCTTCGTGTAATTAGTATTTTCCGGGAGAGGAGTGCAGCTCAGCCTCGGTGAGGGTGCTGGGTTGCGCCCGAACCACACACGCAGGATTTCTGGATGGGATTTTCTGTCTGGGATTTCTGGATGTGCTAACTCCTCCTGGGGAGGAGGATTTCTCAGGACCAACCGGAGCTATTCAGGAAGGTCCTCCCTGTGGTTATTTTAGAAAACTGTGTGGCGTGTTCCTGACTGTTGGGTGTGATCTGTGATTGGAAGGAAATAGGCCAACTACTAACAAGGCTTTTCTGAAGGTGTCGGGATCACATGGTTTCTCTGTTTTTCTCTACATTTTTAATGTTTTCCAAACTTCTGGCGCAAAGTAGACTTTAAGACTTCATATATATGTCATTCAAAAGGATATTTAATCCCAGCACTCTGGGAGACTGAAGCAGAAAGATAACAAGTTTAGCCCAGCCTGGGCACTGTAGGAGGACTGTTTTAAAAACAAAATAATTTCTGCCGGAGGTGGTAGCACATGTCTGTAATCCCAGCACTCGGGAGACTGAGGCAGGAAGACTGCCACCAGTTCGAGGCCACCCTTAACTACACAGAGATCCTGTCTCAACGCCGCCCCAATTTGTTTTGTTTCGTTTTGTTTTTTTCCAGTACCGGGAATCAAACTCACGACCTCGCGCTTGCCAGGCAAGCGCTGTGCCGCTGAGCTAAATCCCCAGCCGCCCCATTTTTTTTAAGTCTGAGGATACAGCTTGATGTGAAGGCCCTGGGTTCAATCACCAATACCGAGGGGGAAAAAAAGTGTGCTTTGCTCACAAGTAGAACGTGTGGAAGATAATGTGCAAAAATGGGTAACCCCTTGGCAAATGACCGAAGGGAAAAATATCTTGTGAAAAACTCTTTAAAAGGTGATAAGCTGGTCTTTTCTGCCGTATAAACTCAGGCAGCAACCAGGTCAACTGCACCCTCATGCTCTTCAGATTTCATCTGGATGCTGTCTCCCTCTGGAAAACTACAGAGTAAAGGACCATCGGGAGAGAGCCCGGCCTCTCTATTGAATTGGCGTGCCTCTTTTGAAGGAAAAAATGTGTAAGCTTTATACTGAACTCTGCCCCTTCCGTTTGGTTCTTGCCTTTGTCTCTGAGTCTAAATAAAATGCTGAGGGTGACACAGAAGGGATGAAGTGCCCAAAATGAGCCATACACCTGAAGAGTCATGCCAGCCAACAGCAGACCCAGAGAACAGGAAGGAGAGGCTCAGCATGGGTTTAGACAAGGCTTCCACCTTTGACGAGGGTCTGTATGATGTTTTGTTTCTTGAGACAGGATCTCGGTATGTATTCCAAGCTGGCCTTGAACTCACAGTGCATCCTCGGCTGGGCTCAAACTCAGTGATCTTCCTGCCTCAGCCTCCCAAACACTAGGGTTATAGTTGTGCACCACCAGTCTCGGTTGAAATATTTACTTCTGAGCTACTGGGTGTGATCTCACTGGCTAACTCCTGCTTATCCCTAGGTGCCTGTTCCTCCAAGTGATCTTCCTTACCTTGTTGACTAGGTTGGGTCAAGCTGGAGATTTAGCTCAGCAGCACAGCGCCTGCCTGGCAAGTGCAAGGCCGTGAGTTCGATTCCGGGTACCGGAAAAAAACAAAAACAAAACAAAAACAAAAAAACTTGGTTGGGTCAAGGTTATGGGAACATAACTCAGCACCCAATGCCTGAACAGGTACTCCCCGCGTTGACTGCCTGCCATGTACCCGGTGCTGTTCTAGTGCGGGGACTGTGTTGGAAATGAGATAAAGTCTTTGCTTAGATTCTAGTGCTGAAACAACAGAAAATACACAAGTCTATATTTTAGCACCTAGCAACTAGTGCTATCGAGAAAAGGCCAGGTAAGAAACCACAGAAGCGCTGGAGAATGAACAAGAGGCAACCACGTGCTTCCAAGCAATAGGGTCTGACTGTGGCATCAAATCTGTTCATCCTTCAGCCCTGAAGAGGGAAGGGGCCGATTTGCTGTCTCGGGTCCCTGCTGGCCAAAGGTTATGGCACTGTTTCCAGGACTCCTGCGGGTGGCAGCAAAATACACGTGCTGCCTGCCAGTGGCCGCTACTTCCCAGCTACTGCAACGACAATCTTGATTATATATATTTTGTCAGTTGCGGTTCTGCTTACATTTCGCTGCTAAGTGGTCTCAGAATACTTCATTACCCCCGTCCTGTCACAAAATGACAGCCAGCCACGGTCACATCTGTCTCCACCAGACAGTGAGTACGAACGGAACTCAAACGCACAAACTGCAGACTCACGGAAATTTATACATATTTCATTTTTTATTACCAATCAAAAATAAATTCCATGTATTGTTTAGCAAATATTATCATTGTTTTGTGACAAAAGACACAAGAGTCATAACAAGAAAACTCCCCGAGAGTCAAACTCATAACAATGCCAAAATAAATCACAAAAATATACAAATTAAAATCCTATGCAAAATAAATAGGAGTCATTTGCTCCGGTGGCTGTGACTTGCCTACCCATTCGGATGCCATTTACAAAGGTCCCCCTTAGCCAGGAAGACACGAGCAGCGGGCCAGGTCCAGGGTACGGCTCAGCCCAGGAACCCAAGGTTGGAACAGGAAGTGAACTGTACTGAGAGGAGTAAGTCATTGGACCAGTAATATTTGGAAATAATCATGACCCTCTGGAAGAAGTGATTCTAAGTGGGGGAGGGAGGAGGCGGGACTGTCCGTTGGTAGTGAATGCGTGTGCAAAGAGGTAGCTGTGGGAGTGTGCACGCCTGCTCCTCTGCCTCACACACCCACCAGGTTCGGACCGGCGTGGGTTCCACCAGGCACTCAGGACTCTCAGGACTACGGCCCCGCCAGCTCCTGTGGGACTCAGAAGAAGTTGCTCTTGTGGAAAGCGAAGGCTTCCTGAGGGATCTCGGCTGCTGTCACTTCCTGGTGCGCGAGCATGCACGGCACCATCCCCTGCTCTCCAGGGTCTCAGCTGGTCTGGCCAAGGGCAGGCGTACTCAGGCATCCCCTGTCCCAGGAGTCAGGGTTCTCTGGGCACCTGGAGAGCAGAGCTCTTGGGGTGACAGGACTCCCCTGGCTGAGGAAAGGAGCCACTTGGGCAGAAGCCCACAGGATCCCCCTGGCCTGGGCTGCACCCCAGCGCCCTATAGCACAAGCCTGGCGCCCCACAGTGAGCCTCCGTAAGTGCAGACAAAGGTACCTGGAGAAGATTTTACTCAGGCGGAGTGGGGTGCATTTTCCACCCGGCTTCACCCTGGGGTCATGGCACACCGGCTGCACCCCTCTGTCTGGAGCCCTCCTTTCCCGGGCTCCATGAAGAGGGTTAGGAGCTCAGTTGTGCTTCTGGCCGCCACCGAGGAAAAGGGGTGAAAAGGGCGGGCTGAGGTGGCTTCTAACATGTCCTCCCATCCCCAGCCCTCAGGAGGGACTGGGGCTTGGCTAAGGACCAGGGGGTCTGTGTGCGGCTCCGTGGCTCCATCGAGCCTCAGCTCCTTGTGGGGGTGGGTGAAGCGGGCAGCAGCAGCTGCTAACAGTGCAGACGCCTACAACCAAATTCATCCCAGAAACCGCAAGGCGTACCCCAGACAGGTCACCCCGATCCCGACGCCCTCCCCTTGGAGGGGGACGGCTTTGGTACAGTGAGGGCAGGGCGTGGGGAGAAGGTAACCAGAGACCCTGCTTGACATGTGAGTCCAGAGGGGCAATGGGCAGGGGCTCCCCAGGGGGTCAGTGCAGGCTTCTGGGAGCTTCTTGGTCTAGAGGGTTCTCAGTCCCTGATCACAGCTACCCAGGCCTTGGTGATGCCATGTGGTCCCTGGCCTCCTCCCAGGAGCCAGCTGCCCCCTCGGGCACCGGGCCCTGCTGCAGAAGGGTGGGCTCCCAGGCGGGGACACAGGCTGCAGGGTCGTAGCTGAGAGCAAATTATGGCTATTGCTTCCTGGAGTGAGGAATGCTCCCCCTTCTGAAGTTTGTTTTGGAAAAAAATTATCTTACATAAAGTTCCTTAACCCTGTCTTCCCTTCCCAAAATGATACTTAAAAAGAGGAGCAATGCGCCCAGGTTAGAAATTGTCTCTGAAAAACAGCCTTTGCTCACGGAGCTGTCCCACGGCCACACTGGCCCGGGGCTGGGCAGCCGCCACCTCCAAGCCATCTGGAGGTTCCTGCAGGGGCCGTCAGCTGTTCAGTCACAGGACTTCTAGCTGCACCCCTTCTAGCCTGACAAGTTCCCTCTTGATGTGGGCCCGCTGGGAGGCCCCCACGGGGCTGGCGGGGGGCCCCGGGCCCTCCTGTCAGACGGCGTTGTCCGGAGAGGCTCTGTGTAGCAAGGAATTGCGTTCGTTGAGAAGAGTCGTGGTCTCATCCACCATGGGCAGCTCAGGCTTCTCGGAGGAGTTCTCCACGCACGAGGTGCAGCCGTCCAGGGGAAACTGAGGGCTGTTCTCCATGCGGGAGGCCAGCAGCCCGTTCTGATACTGCTGCCGAGTGATCTGCAGGGGGGCAGTGCTGAGTATGTGGGGGCTCTCACACCCAGCCTGCTGTGCAGCCTGACAGGTGGGGCCCCCAGAAACCTTAGAAAGAGCATGGTAAACCACGCATGCCTGTAATCCCAGCACTCAGGAGGCTGAGGCAGGAGGACTGCTGTGAGTTCAAGGCCAGCCTGGGCTCCATAGTGAGTTGAAGCTGGCCTGAACTATCTAGTGAGACCCTACCTCAAAAAAAAGAGCAAGGAGCACGCTAGCCTGAGGGAGGCCAGGGCAGCTCACCTTGATGTACTGCAGGTCTGTGAGTGCCCGGACACTGAAGTCGGAGACGTACTGGCCCAGGACACAGGTAGTCAGCTGGTTGCTGCTGCCCGTCAGCGCGGTGGTAGGGGACGTGTCAGTGCCATGGTCGGGGTAGCTGAGGGAGGCTGAGCGGCTGAGCGAGGTGGGATGGGCCGGGGAGCGGTCTGTGGAGACAGCGGAGTCCTTCAGGCCGGAAGCCCGCTGGTGCCCATGCCAGCCTCCTGCCTGGCTTCCGCCCTGCATGTGGCGACCCTCCCAGAAGCAGAACATGGTTCTCAGGGACACGGAGCAGCACATGGAAGCTCTGCCTGCACAAGGTCTCACCTCTTCAGAGCCGATGATTAGTGTGTTTAAGTGTCGAGCGACAAGGATTAAACGGCCACCAAATCCAACCAAGCAACCAGAAAGATAAACTAAAGACACAGACAACACCTGGCTATAAAACCCCTCATTTGACCCCAACAAGTCATCAGTCATGGGTGGCACGGTGATTACCCTCACGTGACAGACAAGCCCCTCTCCTGGTCTCAAGGGGCAGACACTGTACACCTAAAAAAAACTTACTGAAAGAAGAGTGTACCGTCCGCACTGTCGCCTGTGGCAACCCCTACACCTGTCGCACGCTACGATGTCCAAGGGTGAGGAACTCAGCCTCTGCCGTTGGGTCTGCAACAGGCCCTCTCACGGCACCCCAGGGGTCCCCGTCATGCAGCAGCAACCAGGATGGGGGCAGCGCAGCCTGTCCTGAGCTTCACAGGATGGTGCCTCAAGCTCAGAGGAAGACGCAGAAAGGGGCCGGGGACAGAACACAGTGGCTCAGGTTTGAGAACTCAGAACAATGAAGTGCACAGGGACGCTAACTGTGGGCCACAAGGGCTGGTCTACACCAACAGGAAGTGCATCAAGCCGATGTGCTTTAGGGAATGACAGGATTACTAACGAACTACTAAATCAGCTACGCTAACAAGCAGCCCTGCGGAGATGGCCAAGGGACTGCCCCAGCGGCTCAGTGAGCTCTGCAGCTTTTAGCCACAAGACGCTGAAATGAGTAACTTTATCTGGTGCCTGACTAATGCTTTTCCTTTCGTTTATGAAATCTGGCAAACAGTCTGGCTGTTCTATGACTGGGCTGTGGGTGCCCCAACAAGAAGTAGAGGATTATTAGACGGGTTGGTGAAAGTTCCTAACTTAGTGGCTCCACTCACTGGGCTCTAGAAGGAAAGATACGAACAACAAAACCACAGATATTAGGGGTGTCACGTGGCAGTTCACATTAATTGCTTCAAGGATGGGATACATGTCGTTAGGCTTACACTCTGGGAACAGGAAATGGGTTGACTGATTTACTTGTTTTGTTTTGCAGTGCTGGGGACTGCAGCCAGGGCTTCCCATATGCAGAGAAAGTGCCCAGCTGCTAAGTCACGCTCCCAACCCCGGGGAACTAGAATTTAAAACCAACGCAATGGGCTGGGGATATAGCTCAGTGGCACAGTGCTTGCCTGGCAAGTGCGAGGTCATGAGTTCAATTCCTGTGACAGAAAAAAAAAAAACCTGACACAATGAGTGAGCTGGAGGCCCTAGAAAAAAGATATAGCAAAATATTGTCTCTGAGTAATGAAATTAAGGTGCTTTTTAATTTTCTCAAGAGTTTTGTTTCCCCAGTTTTCCAAATAACCTGTTACTTTTATGATTAAAACAAAGAATAAATATTTTAAAAGTAGGGTTATTTTACTTGACCTTATTTCTGATAATATCCACAGGGTTACTTTTTTTTCTTTTTCTTTTTTCTTTCTTTTCTCTTTTAGAGACAGAGTTTCACTATGCAGTTCAGACTGGCCTTGAACTCACTTTATAGTCCAGGCTGGCTTTGAACTCACAGCAATCCTCCTGCTTCAGCTTCCCAAGCGCTGGGATTACAGGTATGCGCCAACATGCCTGGCAAGGGCATAATCTTAAACAAAGAAAAATATTTTTACATAAAGTTTTTTTAAAGTCATGGCATTCTCTGTAATAGAGCTACCTCCAACAAATACTCATAAAACAGAGTATCAGTAAGGGAAGGCGCACTGCTCAGTGGAACACTGCGTGCTCTGACGAGGAAGTTTATGGAAAGCGTGTCCATTCCTGTAGCACGTAAAAACGCCAGGGTATCAACCCTTGATGCACAGACTCCTGGCCACCATGAAACAAGAAGCAGGGAGTCTGCAGTCACACTAGTGGGGTCTGAAAAGGGCAGCGGGTGAATTCTTCTAAAATTACCTTTATATTTATTATTTTTTAAAAAGAAGGTTAAAATAGTACAGTGTAATCTGCAACATTAAGAAGAGTGGCACATGCCTATAATCCCAGCACTCTTGGAGGCTGAGGCAAGAGGATCCCAAGTTGGAGCCCACCCTGGGCAACTTAGTGAAACTGTCTCAAAATCAAGAAGGGGTTAAGGGTTCAGGAGCTTTGGGCCTGGGTTCAATCTCCCGTACTACAGGAAAAAGAAAAACTCAACTGTGCAAAGATGAACTGGGAGAGCCAGGCATAGTGGCACACGCCTGTAATCCCAGCACTGAGAGGCTGAGGGAGGAGGATTGCCTCAGGTTCAAGGCCAGCCTGGGCTACACGGTGAGTTCAGGGGCAGCCTGAACTATACAATAAGACCCTGTCTCAAAAACGAAACAAACAAACAAAAAAGATGAACTGGGAGACTACTGACAGGTGATGGGTTTTAGAGCTGTCGGCCTGAGGACCTCAAAGACACTCTGGACCAAGGCAGAGCACACCAGTGCAGGCCACAGTGTGACCACGGACCCTCTGCACTGTGGAGAATGCAGGAGCCCGGCCAGCCTCAACCTGAACGTGTCGGCCCACACCGTTCCCTGGCGTGACAGGTGGCAGGAGTGGGACCCAGCCCAGGTCAAAAACAGCATGGTCATGTGCCCTAAGGCCGCTCTGCACTTGTAATAGAGAAAAAATAAAATCCTAAAAGTCGAGCTCTAACTACTCCTGCGACATCAGCTGTCACTTACTGCTCCCCACGGTGCTATGAGGCGGGTCCGTCCAGTGTTGACTCCGGGGAAGGAGACTGAGACAGGAGGAGTAGGGCCTTGTCTCTGGGGCTGCACCTCCATCTGCCCTCCCTGCTTCACAGGGACACACAGATCCCAGCCACACTAGGAGCAGGCAGGAAGGGGTTAGGACGCTGATGCCATGATGTGCTCGTGCCAGGGCTGGCAGGTGGCTGGGCCAGGGGTTCTGACGAGCTGGCTTTCATCTCCTGCATTCCCCTCCTGTCCTCCGGGTGTTGGCCTGCCTGCCTGCCTGCCTGCCTGGGGGCTGCACATGTCCACACCTCCTCCAGGACTGAAGGACCTCTGGGTAAGCCCTTCCAGAACTCAGCAACACACCAGAAAACTGGGCCCTAGTCCAAACGGACACACCAATCATGCCAGCCCCCAACCATACCCAGTGGGAGGGGCGAGGTTAATGTGGCCGCAGTGCATGGCTCGGACGACAGGTGGCAGTGTCAGCTTCCCCAGCATGCCTGTTACCTGCGAGCCAGGACAGCAGGGAGTTCCGCTTGCCAGGCGGACACCCGACCTGGGTGGGAGGCGCTGGAGCAGAAGAGGAAGAGGTCAGGGGCCTGGGCGGGGTCTGAGGCAGGACTTGGCCACAGGATAAGGACACAGCCACCCTTGCGCAGGGTGGGACAGGTGCAGTCACCGCCCCTCCCAGCCATCCCTGCAAAGGGCATCTGAGAGCCTGGGGTGCAGGGACAGGGCCCAGGCCTCAGGCAGGGCTCCGAAGCAGCACTGGGGCACATCTTTCCCCCAAAGCCCTTCCACACCAGATGCCCCGGCTGCACAGCCAGGGTGCTCTCAGGGGGGGCAGGCAAGTCCTCCCTGCAGGAGGGCTCTGGACAACATCCACAGGTTCCATCGGGAGCCACAGCCGACCCCACCAGGCTCTTCCAGGCAGAGGTGGGGAGCACAGCATGGAAGCTCAAGGTGCCCTGGCCGCCCTCCTGGGGCCCTTCTGGTCAAGGGACAGTGACAGACTGGGCACAGGGAAAGCTCAGGACCTGCAGCCAGCACCCCCCACCCTGGGCAAGCACCAAAGGGGCTCTGTTCTCCCTCTCGGGTGGCAGGCCCACAGCAGGTCCGGCCGGCTGGTACCACTGAGCCTCCCGCACTGCAGGGCCAGAGGCCGCTGCGCCCCCTCCCAGTCCCTTCCACAGGCCTTGATGGAGCCCAGTCCCCTTGTGGTTGGCCCCCAAGGCAAATGGCTGAGCCCCGGACCCAAAATCACCTGGACTGCACCAAGGCAGGCAGGCAGGCTGTGGCCCAGCTCCCAGCCTCCTGCCCTGTCCCAGCCCCTGGGGACACCTCATCTCAACAAGCACCACCGCCTGCTTTCCACTTCCCTTCACGGCCAGAAGCCAGCAACCCGAGTCGGTGCAGGCGCTGCCTGAGGCAGCCGGCCCCACCTCAGGACCCGCCGCCCCTGCTGCCGAGACTTTACTCAAATCCCATCTGCCTCTGGACCGGGGCCGTGGGGCCATGACCATGCTCCTGCAGGCCCCTCCTCTAGGCCTGGCTCTGACTCTCAGCCACCTCCCTCCTCCCAGACACCAGACTCCCCTCACTCTGGCAGAGCAGAGGACTCACCCGGGGGTGCTGAGGACAGGGCCATGGTCCCGTAGTAGGAGAAGGCACCGGTCTCGAACTTCATGTTCTCCTTCCCCGCCTCCACTTCCACCTTGCCCTGCAAGGACACGGGCAGGGTTACAGGCAGGTGATAGCCGGGTGGGAGGGGGGAGGCCAGGCGGGCGCGAGGCTGGCGGCACCTGCAGGATGAGCACGAAGTAGTCGGCCGGCTTGTTCCGCGTGTACAGGTAATGCCGTGCGCAATATTTGTTGTGCTCGTCGAACTTCAGCTCCTGAATGACGTCGGGGTACTTGAGCAGCCGCAGCAGGATCTTCTCCGACATCAGCGAGGGGCTGAACTGGGGCACCTCTGCAGGAGGGAGAGGGGACTTCACTCAGGCCCTGGCGGCCACCCTGGGCTGCGGGAGCTGTCCCCAAGGGGGCGCCTGCCTCTCTGACAGGGTGGCTCTGGCCACAGAGACCTAAATCCACGCCTGCCTGGACGTGGAGCACAGCACTCTACGGTCCTGTGACCTCCAGCAAGCGGCTTGACCTGCCCCAGGTCCTCATCTGTAAAAGGGGTTGGGAACTTCACAGGGTGGATGTGGGTTAGTGGCCGGATGCGTTCTAGGTGTGTGGAAAGTGCTTAGCAGGTGTCTCTGTAATTATGCCCACAGCACCTCATCAACATCAATGTCCCCACAGGTCAGCAACTGGAAGTGCCACACCTGCAGCAGATGAGGGCTAGGACTGGCCTGGGCAAGAAGGAGTCAGCAAGTGTAGTTTTCTTTTTTCTTTTTTTTAGGTCCTTTTGAGACAAGGTCTCGCTATGCAGTTCAGGCTGGCCTTGAGCTCACTTTGTAGGCCAGGCTGGTCTTGGACCTCACAACAATCCTCCTGCCTCAGCCTCCCAAGTGCTGGGATTACAGGCGTGCACCACCACGCCCGGCTTTTTTTTTTTTTTTTGGAGACAAGGTCTCACTACGTAGTTCAGGCTGGCCTTGAACTCACTATGGAGTCTAGGCTGGCCTCCAACTTGCAGTGATCCTCCTGCCTCAGCCTCCAGAGTGCTGGGATTACAGCTGTGCAGTACCATGCCTGGCTCAGTAGGTGTTTTTCTAAACTGTGACTCAGGTTTCTCTCTGGGGGATCTTGGAATTGCGGGGGGAAGAGAGAAATGTCTTTGATACATAGATCCATTCTTGCAAGAGGCAGGACACATGCAGAGGGGAGGGTAGCAGAGAGAGATGCCATGGACCCGGGCTCTGCAGGTCAGTGAGGATGGCCGGTGCGTGCTGTGCCTCGCAAGCCCTTTCTCCCTACTTGTCCACACTGGGGATGGGCTTGGGGTGCTCAGGAACCCCCTGTGTTCCTAGTGCCACCTGCCTTTCTCTTTTTCTCTTTCTGTTGTTGAGACAAGACCTTGCTATATAGACCAGGATGGCCTTAACTTGTGGCAATCCTGCCTCAGCCTCCTGACTGCTAAGATTACAGGTGTGCACCACCACACTCAGCGAGTCCCAGCAAATATTTTCAAAACCAGCTTGTCCACCCCCAGAAGTTCACACCAGCAGCCCATGACAGCAAGCACATAGCTAGGGGAACCCAGAGAGCAGCGTCTGGACCCTTTCCCTGGGAGGAAGCTCCCGAGGCCCAGTCTTCTCCTCCTGGATGTCTGGCCAGCAACAGCAGGTCCTCCTCTGCTTCTTACCTGTGGACAGGAAGCGGTGAGCGGCCAGGAGGAGCTGGGGGGAAATTTTGACCTTGAGTTCATTGTCAGCGTCCTTGAAGGCAGAGAAGTCACGCTTGTTCTTGTTGGAAGACACCCGTTTCCGACTTCTGTTGTCAGCTGCAAGAGCAAGGGCTGGACCTGAGGACATGGTCCCTGAGGAGAGGAACAGCCTAGAAGCTGCCCCCAGCTCTCAGCTCGGTCCGGGGGCATGATGGGACAACGGTGGCCTCCTCTCCCACCTTCCTGCCCTGCACTCAGGGCCACTGCAATTCCGACCGGAGCCGGAGAGGGATCCGGGTGGAGAGAGGGCAGAACTCACTGTACATGTCTGACTCGTCCAGGATCTCGCACTTGATGATCTCCTCGATGACGTCCTCCAGGGTGACCAGGCCCAGCACCTCGTAGAAGGGGTCGCCCTCGCCCTCGTTGTTCACCTTCTGCACGATGGCCAGGTGCGACTTCCCTGTGGGACAATGCACAGAGTTAGAGGGGGGCCGGGCAGAAGACCCCTTCACGGAAACGGCATGCCTTTAGGGTCACGAGTCATCAGGGTGGAGTCGGGTGGCTTTTATCCTCTTCCCGTATTCTGGTGTTTCTGCTGCGAACAGACTGCTATTATCAAAGGGAGACCCAGAGTATTTTCAAAGGCGTATCCCTGGCACCACGTGTTTAAAGAGGATGCCAACGGCAGGGTCCCCATGGCTCTTGGGGAGGGGGCAGACCCACGCTGCAAGGGCACAGGAGCCCTGGGTCCGGAATATGTGCGAAGTGTGATCATAAAATACGGTGCATGTTTACATCTTCTAAAAAATGTCTTACAGGAGAGGACACATTGCCACGAATCCCCCTCAGAATCCTCTCTCACGCTGAACGCATTCATCCCATCGTGCTTGCCACTGTCTGAAGCACTTCCAGAAGTCCTCTTTCACGAGTGTCTCTAGTTGTGCCATCACAGCTGCCTGGATGTGCTGAACCGATCCAAAGCAGTTCCCTTTCGTGGCCGCTTTGACTTTCGGGAAGAGCTGGAGGTCACACAGTGCCCAGTCTGATAAAGGAGGAGGATGAGGGTGCCACCGGTGTGCTTACCAGCTGCCTTTCAGCAGATGGCACTGGGCAGCTGCATCCAATCCATTTTTTTTTAAATTTTACCTTCTAAGGCCCCTCACGAAAAAGAACTTCCAGAGCTGCTTCAGAAAGTGGCAAGAACCATGGGGGAAGGTGGCCCGAAGCAAGGAGTATCCTGAGGGGGATGGGCAGTAGTGTCTCTTATTGTAATACATTTTCAAATTTAAACACACCCTCTTTGCTTGTTTTCTGGCCAGGCTTTGTGTGTGCCAGCTGAACGGAAGGCCCAGCGCCGTGCACCCCGGGGTCTTGGGCCATGCGACTCAGTCCCTTCACACAGCTGCCAGACAAGTTCCCCGCATGGCGGGGGTCCCACACTGCCCACACCAGGGGCTCTCGGTTCCCAAGGTCCCTAGCAAATGAGCCCACAGGGTCAGGCTGCAGGCAGAGCCCGTAACTACAGGGGCCCCTGACCCTGTGGCCAGGGAAAGCTGGAGGCTGAGCAGGCCAGGACCCCTGCAGAAGCTGTCTTTTGGCCCTGCTCTGGAGAGCCTCCGGCCCCAGAAGCAACAACAGAGGACAGCCAAGCAGGTACCGACCAGACTGCGCCCTGAACGAGGGGACACAGGCAAGAGCCCTGAGGGTGGGGCGACAGTCACAGCGGGTCTCCGGCATGGCCTCCCCCTCCCAAGCTAAGGCTCAGGGATGGCTCTAAGGGCCAGAGCTCATTCGATACCCTCTTGGGAGAGTGGTCCTACAGATCCTTCCAGCCACAGAGCCACCAACCCCAGGACCCCAAGGAGGACAGAGCGTGCTTTCTGCGAAAAGCAAAACTGTCCCCTGCACAGACCATATGAGAGGACAAGGACTGACTGTGAGGTCACTCACACACGTGTCAGCCACCAAGACACACACAGGTACCTCTGCACCTGCTGGAGGCCGCCACACAGGCGTCTCCTCAGAGACAGCTGGGGAGCCAGGGAGACCTGTCAGCAGACAGACAAGGAGTGAAAGGCGGCTTCTGCACCTTCCAGGCCGGCATGCCCTAAAAACCCTTTCGGTGATGCCCATGTTGGGAGGAGAGCAGGGAAAGCACAGGTCAGGAAGCCGGCTGTGCAGGGTGTCTTAAGATCAGAGCCCCTCCCCCCAAAACAAAAGATCAGAGCCCCTAATTTTGGACTTAGAAATTCTTTTGAGTGTGTGTGTGTGTGTATGTGTGACATAGGAACTGAACCCAACCCTTTGCACTGTGCTACAACTCTAGCCCCTCGCTTTTTAAACTATTTTGTACTTTGAACCAGGGGCTTGCTAAGTCACTAAGTTGTGCGGGCAGGCTGGGTTTGAACATGCAATGGATCCCCCTGCCTCAGCCTCTCAAGAGCGCTATGATTACAGGTGTGTGCCACCACACCAAGTATGGACTTGGCAATTCTATTAGGAATTTCTCCTACACAACTACTGCAAAAGTACAAAGACACAAGGGCTGGGCACGGTGGTCATGTCTGGAATCCCAGCACATGGAAGGCAGGAGGATTGCTTCAAATTTGAGGCCAGCCTGAACTGCACAG